TTTTATAGGGTAATCTTCTTCTTAGATGCTGCAGGCGGAATCAGGGTTCCAATTCCCTACCAATTTACTTATTCTAAATCGGAGGTGACAAATTCCGAGTTCGCCTCTGGGAATTCGTCATCCTTATGTCTTTGCCGTGTTCCAAACACCATCATCCGGTAGATCAGTTGCTGTGGTGAGAGCGTAGGCTGAAACAATACTTGACAAAAACAGAGAGAGACAGGATCTCTTCAAGAGGAATAGTAGGGTAGATCGGACGATACATCTTGGAGCATAGCATCCTTACGGTTTTTTCGTAGCTGCACCTTGTTCCTGCAACAGGTGATTCGGTCACTGGGTCCATGAAGCCATTTGCAAGCATTTGAAACAAGTAAGTGAAGCAAGATCTACATTGTGACAGAGAGTTGGGGACGACAAAATTGCCTTGGCCTTTTGACCACGTTGTATTCTTCCGAGAAACATGTACGATGTTGCAACAAGAAAGTTTTGTTGGAGAAAGAGTCTACTTCTGTATAAGCTGCACATGTACGAAACGAGTTGTTGAATAATATGACAAGTTATCAAAGCTGGAAGTTAAAAAAGTAAAAACTGAGAGATGTTTCATCTGAAGACGATTGGTTGCGAGTATGGAGGTCCTCTAAACGTGAACACGTAATCTCGAACGAGAACTCTGCCACATTGCAACCTCTGGATGTTGGAACACCATCATATTCGTCACAGACTTACACCGGTGATCTATTGTCAGGTTTCCAACATCCAGAAGTTGCAATATAGCCTCAGACATTTACTTCTCTCCTCAAAGTATGACTGGTGGATGACAGGTGGATCTTGAGAGAACCAAGCACTTCAACCTTTGGATGTGTAACAGCATCATTAACTACGCGGACATAGAAGGCTGATTTATTGTAGGTTTCAACATCCAAAAGTGCGATGTAACCTCAAGACATACTTTTCAAGTTATAAAAAACTATATACGCAAACTTGCAACTTTAGGTTGTTAAAGCCCACGATAAATCACCCGTCTATGTCTTGTGTAACTCTCAAGCTTCAGTATAGTTCTCAAAATATAATTGCCGGCTCTTCGTAGACCAGCGTGCAACGCCTTCAGATCAGATCAGATAAGAGTTGCCTTTCTTCAGGTGAGAAGTACATCGTAGGAGCTTTTACAGAAGTCAAGAATAACAACCATCAGAACTCTCACTTTCTTGCTCTTCTGAACCTCTTACTTGCTCTACGATGATAACTCAAGTCTCTCACTCTCACTATCACTGAGAGACTTGAGTTCCCACAACCATAGAGCAAATGTGATATCTTGGCAATAGCACTGTATATTCTGACATGAAGTGACTATCTGTGAGCATTTCATCTTCACAACATCACTAACTTGTCTCATATTAGAGAACTGTTCAGAAACACAGTTGATTACAACATATGATTGTCGACCCATGTTAACTCTGAACGGACTCATACCATGATCCATTTGAAACCTCATAACAGTCCACACACAGCGTACGAGACAACTGAAGCTTTGGCTACAACCAGCAGGACTGGAAGATCTGTCACTGCTCACAAGTATGGTAGGATACAACATTTGGTCAAATAAGATGTTCGTGCCATCGTCTCTCTCAACCACGGCGAAGGTTCTGAATGTCGTCACTGTACTCTGTTGTATTCTTCGTCGTCAGAAATAAGATTGCTACAATGTCAGGAGTCAAGGAACAAGGGAGTAGTCAGACAACATGCACATCGTAGCCGGATTTCACAGTCGATTTTGACTTCACCTGGCTTTTCGAGAGCATTTAACTCGTGAAGTTCAAAACTATCTAAACTCCGTAAGAATCGATAGTCAGAAGATTTCTCAGGATTGAAGGTGAACATTCTACTTCTTCTGCCATCACAACTGCGAAGCCAGCTAAGAAAAACTTCTCAACAAGCACATCACATTCTGTCAAACTGCAATCCTTCTGCAAGTGCAGAACACATGCCCCAACTGCTTGCTCCGAACCTATCTTCAACCAATCGTGATCGAGAAGTGAACGATCTGAAGAAGATTTACCAACATATAGCCAAGTTTACCGAAGGAACTGCCAAGGAGCGCATCAAGAACGGCTCGGTGCCTTCTGGCCGTCTTGGAGGACAGCGTGCAGTATTCGACTTGAATTCAGACCGTTCCTTGTGTCATTTATCGTGCATATGTACGTTCAATGACGGTTCGAACTTCAAAGCACTAGCATGCCTAAGAATTAGCCCAGCTTGAAAGTCTGCGTTTTAAATTCTGAACGAACAGAGGGAGATCCCGTAGGCTGCACTGGCATTTAAGCGACTGAGTCACTCACTAGCTGATCATTCTCGATGAAATAGGACATTATCATTATGTTTGAAAAGGAGAGTGCAAGAAACTCGAAGAAAAGCAGTTTGGAAAACGTGAACTCCATTCTTCAGAGTATCGAATTCATGTCACTCAATTTGGTATGATGCGTTTAGTTGTTAAACTATTTACCAGATTGGCAGTTCACTCTGCACAGCTTCAAAGGAAGAGTCATACTGTCCTACAAACATGCTCAACAGTCTACAGTATTGTGTTTCCAAATATGCGTACAAGAACTCTAGCTGCCCATATTTAGGAGAAAAAACAGAGGAATATGAAGCTCTCTCCACTCTCGTGCATGATATCATCTGAACATGATCCACATCTGATCCAGAAGTCCACAATTATCGAAACAAACAGGAAATGGGACGTGTCCTGAGACCTTGTAAGCTACCAGATCTGCAAGCTGTGTTCTGATAACTGCGTCTGAGCTATTGTATGTCAAAATTACCCAAACCTTGTGGTGCAAGCTCGTCCCTGTTGAGTTCGTGTTGCGTGCTGTACATGCATCGTCCCCTGAGCTGTTCTGTTTAACTTCCCCTGGACGTCGGACAAAATTTTCGTTCATGCAATTCTGTTGGATTCGATTTCATCTGTCTCTCACTATTCCACGCACCATCAAAACAGGCTACTTGAAACTTGATGATCGACAAGGATCTTCATTCTTTCCGAATATTTGGCCAGTGATCCCTCCCTGAATCATGTTTTTCAGAATATCTGATTATGATATGCTCGACGCGGATCGACAAGTTCCGGGAAACAATGAGCAGGTTCCATGAGTTCCTCTATGCTCTAAATGGGGACATAGACATCAAAGTTTTCGTAGATTTGTGAGCTGAATCAGTGTCAGATCGATGGAATGAAATATCACTTCATCCCCGTTAGCTTGTGCACACGCAGTTCAACTGACACGAAGTTACCAACAAAACGAGAATCTTTAAGGTGATGACTTCCAAAACAACAACTAATGATAGTACCGAGATAGATTTTACTACAAGGAAAGAATGTTTTGGGCTTTGAACGTGCAGTGTCTTTTGTTTTTCTCCACGTCAAAGTACAAACCCTGAATCTGAAACGATTGCAGATATCAGACTAGATATTAGTAATATTGATTTGGAAGGGTCGCAAGAGACAAGAAGCTACAACTCATGTCGTGATTTCATATGAGATTGGACGTCCCCTGTAGTCAACACTGTCAATACAGTTCTTTAGCTGAAAGATGAGGCATGACTTTCTTCATTCTTAGCCATATGAGATGAGCCTTCGTCACCCTGAAACCATTTATCCCCTCGAAGTAAACTGTTTATTTCAGTAATTCATTCCGCAGCCATATACAATGTCGTGGGGTTGCATAAATGACAAAACTATGAATGTATCATTCTCGATGAGTTCTAAAATCAGAATCCTGCACCCAAGTGAACAGAATCCACTTGGAGCACATGAGGAGTGCAAGTGAACCAAATATTATCTGAAATATGTATACATTGAACCAAAACCTTCAAGAAAACTTAAATAAAAGTGATAGATGTGTATGGATCCAATGTTCAAACTCAAACTGTGGTGGCACTCTGTCTCATTTGCAATTTTTCTTGTTATGACAAGATGACGAGCTGTGTGCACAGAGAGAAAAAATGATGGAGTCATGTTAGTGAAGTTCAAGTCGAGAATTTTGCAGACGAGCGGAGTCGCATTCCTCTTCACGTAGAGTCAAAATTCATATCTATAATTTCTATTTAAATTTATGCATTTATACAATTAAATTGAGAAATATGCTCAATTTATACGCGAAGGCTCTGGCATGCGAATAACTGAAACTTGCCAGACACACTTTTAATCACATCCTCTTCGAAGGCGAGGCCCTATCAGTGTTTTACCCAGAGGTTCTTTCTTCTTCATCTTCTTCAGTACATGATCGTCAAAGGCTTCAGTCGTGTGAGTGATTCGACCATGATACGTGGAGTTGCGGCCAAAGCATGTCAAACACGAAAGCGTAGCCTCCAACTGGCCTTCGTACAGCCTCACTAGGCACCTTTCGTTTCACAGTTGTCTTCGGAGTCGAGAACCATATGAAATGGATTGGCGTGTGATCCAGCATGCTGAATGCGATGGATGTGATCGATACGGTGGAGACAAATTTAGCCACCGTCATGAAAAGGCCATGGCACCCGCGAGCGGAGCGGAAATAAAGCTCGTCTCCGTTGCTGGTACAGTATTAGCCCCGAGTCGTCCTGACCTTCACCACATGCACCCATCGCCGCCCCCACTTTGTCTACTTGCACATAAACCTTGTCTGTCTTCCATTCACACTCTCACTGCCTTCGTTTGTCGCGTCCTTTCCAGTACGCTCACGTACATGCGTTCTCCTTTGACTTCCCGGATCTCTCTACGGTAAAGTAAAAGACATCAGTCTGCCGACCTCGCAGCCCTTTTTCTGTTCTCGAGGTCGTGGGATTTATCCCGTCCTCACTATCCTGCGAACAATCGACGAGTATTTCTTATTACGACATACAAAGTTGCGGAACGATTCAGAACATCGCTCAGAGGCCAACAAGAGGAACCATTGGAATGCCATCGTGTTTATTTCTGGACGGCGGTTGCGCTCGTGCGATGGGTTCGCGGAAATATTCTGACCTTATTTAGACTCGAGGGACTTGCATCTCGCTGTTGTTGCGGGCGTAGAAATCTTGCCATAATTTAGCCTTCGCTGTAGAGGATGAGGACACCGTGGGGAGAGCACAGTTCTCCACAGTGCTCTCCATGCTTCTATTTGTGATTTCCACCACCGTGCCTGACATGGCACACATGGATCCATCATGTGCAACACCTTGCGTGCCGACCCTCGTTTGTCGCGTCTGCTCCCCGAGGGGACGATGTCGTACATAGCCCCTCGAGAGCAAGCCAACTTTCCTGCCGAGTACGAGTCGCACGCCTGTCCAAGTGACAAGCACTGACCATCGTCACTGAAGCCGGCGTTGTCGTCCTCCTCCCACTCACATGTCTGAGGCACGGCAGAGGACTTCCAGAGATCCGACCGATCAAATTTTCATGAGGAGCTAAAATTGTGTCAGAATGCATCTTGTTCACCGAAACTCTCCCTCGTGTCTTTTCACGATGCCCGTATGACAGTTTTCGAAGTCCACGGAATGCTAGTGGATTCACAACACCCACACCATGAAATAGAAAGTTTATTGCTCAATCCCCCGTAGCATTTTAGTGACGACACTCAACTGCTCGAATTTGGATGTCAAATTTATTTTTCATCTTTCATTACATTACTTCAATGCATTATAACTCCGTACTATCATTCTTCATGTATCATAAGCATTCATATTTTCTTCCCACAAAATTTCTACCAAATGATACAAGCATTGAGTTTCATAACACACATCATAACTCGACTTAGTATGATTCACTTCAATTGTTGCTCATATCATTATTACCCAATTTGATAAGAGACGTGTTTAATCCATATATAATACGAAATACGAATTGTATTCCTTCATAAATCAGGAATTTATGCAATTTGAAAAATTTAGGCTAAATGTTTAGTTTTTTCTAATTATTATAAATTTTGCAAAATATTAAATACATAAAATAATTTATCATTAAATGCAAAATAATTTTAGCCAACTAAATTTAATTCAAGAAAATTAAATAAATAAACATAAATAAAACGATTTAAATTCTTCAAGTTGAAATGAAATATTTTGAATTGATACTGGTACATTGATTTGACTAATTACTATTGATAACTTAATACAGTAAAGGTATAATTGGACTTCTAGAATGTAAAATTGGTTCAATGTCATGTCACCATTTCAACTTAGTAACAAGATTATTTTTAAATGGAATGAGTGGATCAATGGCATATTGCATTGTATCTTTTGTTTAAATGAATAAGTAAAATTTAACATGCTTAAACATAATGAATTTTTAAGATAATCATCATGCAAATATAATAATTTTAAACAAATATTCTTAATAGAAGTTAAGAAGATTTTCATTTAATATTTATAAGATCAATGAAAATTTTAATTTTTGAAATACATTTGAGTATTTAAGAGTATTTTTACTCATCATGGGATGATGATTTAAAAGTTTAAGTACAAAAATATTAAATAAAAGAAAATTAGAACATCAACCTTTTACATACATCCCAATAGTGACGTAAATTGCTTGTAGAGTTTTATGTCACTATTGGGAGTTATCACTCACACAAGGTTCTGTAATATTTAGCGGATCATGTAGATACATTATCATTTCACTTTTAGCTGATCATTTGATTCTCGGAATTTCAACTTTCATCCACATTGATTAGTGAAATTACAGTTGTTTGATGTTCACGATAAGAAAATTTCTATTGCAGAAGATTTTTGTACTCAATTGTATATAACAATTTTTACTACAGACAATTTCTAAGATATCTGTACTCAACTCTATATCGACAAATTCTACTATTCAATGAGTTTCATGGCTCAATCGTGGAGAGATTTTTATCATTTGATAAATGTTGTGAACCAATTTTGCAAAACTGAATGCTCTCTAGCTTACAGTGGTGGTTACAATCAACAGAATATCAATTAGTACGAAAAACGTCATGAGTACAAGATAAGACCATCCACAACCATGTTTTTCTTCATAGAGCCACATAGTTTTGTTGTTCACACATCCTCCATCATAAAGGAATGTTTCTTATTCGCGAACGATCCTAAAGTGGTACTTTCATGATGGAGATCAAAACTTGATATCATGCGACGGATTCTGATGATCACATGAGAATATCCAATGAAAAACGTCAGGAGACTTGGTGATGATGATTCGGTGTTTTCAAATGGCCGACTTTTTCCCTAGAAGTTCTCTGCAAGCAAAATCTGCTGCTTTCTTGGAGGATTGAGTTTGAGTAACTCCTTCACAATGAAAAGATATTTGCATTCCGGCTCCTTACAACTAATTCATGATTTTGAAAACGCCTGGAAAATCATTTCAGAACCACAAGTTCAACCTCAAAAATCATTTCAGTTGATTGAAAAGTCCAAGATTTTAGTCGAAAGTGAATTTTTCATTATTTCCTCAAATAACTCAGACTATCTCCATGCAAAGTGTTTGGATCACACCGAGCACCAACGCCACCCCGTTACAGCCTTTGTATGATGTGCAAAATGATATCAATTACTCTACAATATGCTTCATCGTGTAATTCAGAGCACCCTTCTTTAACTTATACGTCAAGTATAAAACAGAACATCCGTGTATTTTTGGGACATGTATTGCTGGACATAAATTTGATGTGCGTCAAGGAAAAGTAATAGATAAGAACAAGAGCAATTCACAATTGACGCATTCAATCTTCTCACACTATAATTGAAATAATGATTCAACTTCACTAGAATCATAGAAAAAGAGCATGATTCTAAATCCGCAAGCTATGAACGGATACTTTTGATAATTATGATAGTCATTAAAGTTCCACGATGTCACTATTGTATCATCTCATGTCACTTTTGCCAATAGTGACAAACGATTTTTGTTGGACAGATTTATATGTTAGAAACTAATGGTATCACACTTTCATATCACTAATTGGAGGATGTCACTGCTAGGAGGTGACACTATTGGAAGGTTTAACTCTGGATATGATATACTATAAAAAAATCATTGGACTCACATTCCAATGAGAATCATTATGAAATTAACATACCAAAAATTTTATCTTCATATCAACTTTTAAATAAATTACTAGTATAATTTTTAAAATAATAGCTGTGTGGCGATACATAATTTTGAGATGATTGAATTTCAAAAAAATTGTTTTTTTCATCTTTTGAACTAAAGTTACTGTCAAATTTTTGCAGTTTTTTTTTTTTTTTTTTTTTGCACACACAACGTTTATACAATGACTTTTGTTTATATCCAAAGCACAAAATTGAAATTGACATGTCAGATTCATTTTTGAGATGTATGACTTCAATTAAGAATACTATCCATTACTAATACACTTTAAGTATTGTACTAAAGTAAACTGCAATCATATAAGCTATATACTTTGAGATCTCAAATCATGACATGACAATCAAATAGACTACATGTGTAATGTGAAAAAACTAATTAAGTAAAATGTTATGTGTATTATGTGCACACATATATTACCGGTCCAATATGCAGTGGCAGCTACTAATAGTTTGAATCATAAATTAATTTAAATCATTCATTCATTCAATCATTCATAATAAATTGAAATCATTCATAACACATAATAAATTCATGAAATATATTATACACCTCAGCAATATTATGTACTTCGAACACATCTACTTTTTACTCAAATTTTTTTTTTGGTTACAGATTTTTTTCCCAAATCTTTTATATAAGAGCAGTAGATGTACTAGTATGACTAATCATAGTCAAATTAGACTATTAATCAAGGTTTGAGTATAGTTCTAAAATTTTATTCCATAAATGCTAATTAATATGCATAATGTTGAGGCAAATTTCTACAACTTTGTGAAATAATTGGCCACTTTTTTTCTTATTCTATGTGAAACTTTTGTTTTACTCTATGATCTTTGATAATGAGCTTTAACAACCTCAAGTTCTCTTATAAGCATTAGGTAATGTTAGACCAAATAGCTTATCTCACCAACGAAATGTAGTGATACATAAGTTGAGGAGTGTAGTATGCAGGGAGAAAGATGATTGCACAATTATGCTGGCTAAATATTTGTTTTCTTCTTTCATCTTTCTAATCTAAACCCTAAACTTTTCCTGGCATAGCTTTCAATCATCAACTATGTATGGCTTATCCGTTTTAGGTCGTTATTTAATTTACTACCAAGCCAAGAATTTGACTAGTGACTAAAACCAAATACTAAGCTTTTTAAGTATAAGATCTCTAATTGATGTGATGAAATTCGGACTAACAAAAATCTGTCCAACTCGAGACAATTCCCTTGAAGAGGAATATGAAGTCAAATGTACAAGCAGTTGTATATGCCTCATCCTGCCTATTGAACACGTAAAACCAGTACCCATAATATCATTCGGAGCTGATTATGAAGTGAAAAAGTTCCAAGTTTCATCGAGTCTCTTAGAAACCAAAAGGAATTCCATAAGTCGTGTCAAAAAGCTTTTGATCTGTCACAATGAGAAAATTAGAAAATCATATGAAGCCTTACTTGCGAGTATCAGGTCAGCCCTCGAAGTAGGAAACATTATTTCAAAACCATTGCTTCATATTCTAGGCTCTATCAAAAGAAAAGAAATTTGTGACGTACTCTTGTAGGAAGTTACTTATTAATCTCGCGGCATATCTTAGACATGAGACGTACTGCGAGATCAAAAGATTAGATTTGTGTATGGATTTATCCAAAGTGCACCACAAACATTTTACAAATTATATAGCGTGAGCTTGCAAATTGCCTCAACGATCCCATACCTACAACTTCAGGCCTTCATGAGTTCTATCGATGAGTACAAATTTCATAACTTATTCTAGCTGTCAATTTGTAGCAACCTCCCTTTTCTCAAGCGCAAAGAACTACGATGACACGTGAAAAAATTTGAATGACACTATTTCTCCTTGAATAATCGAACACCTCATCGACAAACGAAGCTTAAATTGGGTCGAAAAGCATATTTAGTCAGTTGCAGCCGAAGAGCAACTAGCACGCACTTTGAACCTCGATTTATGCTCTTGCGAAGCAGATGTGAAATTGAAGCTATCAGAACTAGATTCCCCGTTTATCTAAGGGTCACTCACATGCATCGAGATCACCTCTGGATGTCCGAACCGATTGTGATCGAAGAAGCCGGTTTCCAACATGTTTTCCAGAGCCAAATGCCGGGAATGTCTCAAACCGTTTTCTGACCAGCTGTTTGTCATTGGTACCAAAATAGCCACATTTAACTGGAGGATGATGGAGTTCACATGACAATTCAGAATAGTGTGAACGAGGTGATTGGAACAAATGATAAGTGAGTCAAAGGTTCCCACTCCATATTTAGCTTCATGATCAAAAA